CACTTGCTATTCTGAAGTCTGCTGCTCTGAGCATGTCAATTGGAGCGATGCATCATCGTGTCCATTACACAGGTGTTTATAGTTAGCTAACGAGGTGCCTAGACTCTCAAAAGGGTTCATTGTTCTGAATGAGAAATGAACCTCTTACAATGTGACATTTTGTGGAAGAAACGATAAACAGTATATCTGTGAAATTTCATAACGGAAGCATGTCAAGGGAAGTTGAGATCTGAAGGTAATTTTGTGTTACTTTCGGCGTTAATTAATGTGGCCTTTTTGGCAGTTAACTAAAGGTGTGTGGTTGCTGCTGTGAGGAAATATCTGCCTGAAATTACAATGGGCTTTAATGGAGACATGTTGAACGTTTTTGTCACTTCATGCCCTCAAGAGGCATTTTGTTTAATTATTTTTGCTTAATTATTTATCATTTATCAAGCTACGAGATGTTTTCCTACGTTTGTCATGATAAATTATGTCTCAGGAATTTAGGGTTTGGGAATTATGGCAGTTTAAAAAAAATATATGAATGCGAATTTCAAGCTGTCCTCCACTCTAGCTGTGACATCACACACTCTAGTTAATGTTAAAATGTGAAGAAAACCTCTAAAACAAGGTCTGAAAAATGTTTAATATCTCTAAAAGTAAGAATCAGATTTAAAAGTTGTTTTACACGAATAATGTCAGAAAGATGTGTAACATTTTAAAGTTGGAATGAGCTTTCTGAGTGAAAGTATGAATGAACAGTTAGCAGTTGAAGTCGCATAAACATTTGTTGAAGTCTGAAGATTTCCTCCATTGACTTCAATGTTAAAAATGTGATGTATTATGGGATGTATCTCTGGAATTATGAAAGTTATGAATGAGAAGTAATAGCCATCGATTCCCGACCAAGCTGAACGTTTTGATGTTTGAACGAAGTTTCTGCGATGTTCAATGCGGGAGGAGAAGCGCGGCAAAATAATTAGGCGGAATAATAATAAACTTTTAGTCCGTAGAAGAACAGTTAGTAAAAAAAAGTTTAGATTTGTTTATTTAGTGGGAATGCTGTTACAGCATTCCCACTAAATAAACAAATCTAAACTTTTTTTATTGGCTGTAATTTACATGGATACATTTGAATGGTGTGATTGGGTTAAAATGTACATATTCTTCCTTTTATGTCTGCCTGCTTTATTTTACTTAATGCAAAGTGACCTGCTCCATCGAAATCAGTCGCATTGACCCGAAGACACATTTTGAGTTGTCTAAACTGTTGGAAAGAGGAGATTCCTAGCTTTCTAATGATATCAGGATTGTTTTTGTACTCCAAATATTGTCGGTGCACCCGAGCTGTTTACTGATTCGGGGTGACTGGAGTGGGGCGACACTCAGACCGAACCCCTCCTTTGTGCGCAAGAGCCTAAGGAGTGCGTTCAGGTCGAGGGCTATTCAGTTGGGGGGGTTTTAGTCTTCCACCCCATGGGGGGGCCAGGGAAGCTAAATTACACCTCCTCTGCCCGGTGCGCGCGTTAGCATGATATGTAGAGCTGGGCCCTGGGCCATTACAGGGCTGGAGGGCTCCCCTCGCCTGCCTGGGGGCAGGAGGGGGAGAGCCCTCCACACTATAGTCTGTACACACTCTGCACGGAGTCAGTGTCTGAGTGTGGACATGGGGGCTAATTGCGCCCTCCCCCGTGCTCCTTAGGGACTCAGCAGAGAGGGTGCATAGTGAACCCATATAGGGCTGCAGACTTTCTCTGTCTGCCTATAGACGGACGGGGGGAGCCCTCAGCACTGTTTTTCGGGCACACTTTTTTGCGAGGTAAGCGCGACAGAGTGTGCTCGGTCAGCCGCAGCCCAGACCTCTCCAGGGTCACAACCGAGGGGGAGGTGAGTGAGGCGCAGCGGCTGCTAAAGCCGGTCAGGGACAGTGAGATGGAACGGTGTGCTGGACGACATCGAGCCTGTGAGAGATATAACGCCGGGTTACTTATTGTAACCCGGCGTTATATTAACACAGCCCTCTACTCTGGGGCACTGTCTGTCCTATACCGCTAGGCTGAAGAGTGGTGTAGGATGATGGTCAGGAGGCGAGGCCTCCTTTTATACGGAAGTGAGATGCGCGCGCATTCAGGTAGGCCCGCCCCGGGGCCGGCTACGTCTATAGAAATCTCAGTAGGTGAATGCTTGCATGATAAGGTAGTACAAATAGAGTCCAGTAGAGGGCTCCGCCTGTGTTAATATAACAAGGGTTACAATACGTAACCCGGCGTTATCAGATTACAGATACATTTAGTCAAAATAAGAGTAAAATTGTTTAATACATTTCAAAATAAAGAATAACGCCTCTTACATTAGGAGCTTTTACTGGGTGTAATTGGACATCATTTAGTTTGTAAAGCAGACTAGATTAGTAACAATGATTAGCCCTTTCAAGTTCATTTTTATTATTATTTTTTGGCGAGATGCATCCTAAAAACAAAACCCAATTCCTAGTAAACCAGCAAACATAATAAAGGTCAAACCGGGGCAATGTGATAACGTCTGCTAAAGTGTCAATAACTTGATCGCGTTTCCTTTTTCTGCTTTACACACAAAATAATGGTAACATTTCAGCCTTTTTACTTTAAGGTTAAGCAAAAGTAATGGGAGCTATATTGTGTTATTTGGATTAGGTTACTGACTACATTTTTATTTAAGTACATTTATCAGAATACATATTAAAACTCTCCAAAACAGCAATATGTTTACATTTTGGAATGTTTATTCCTAGTCTTTTGATTTGTAATGTACAATGCCATGTCCTTTTATGCTGCTTCAAAGTACTTCTTATCTTATCGCCTAAGCTCTTCATTTTCTAGCTAGCATGATTGTTTAATCCAATAGTCATTCATCTTATCATTTATTTAGGGGTCGAGTTCAAAATTCAGATTTGCAGACGACAAAGAAGAAAATACTGAATCTATTTTGGGAGATGAATACATAAATAATAACCAAACTTCCTGCGCTGAGTGATGCTGGTTCTTGGACAATTGACCAGTTGGAGACAGAAATGATGCTGAAGGTGATTTATGTATTTAGTGTCTCCTGCTCACCTCTCTGTCAAAGTATCTGGTCCTCCATGCTGTCTCCGTCTCAGCGCGGTGTCTCTCCTCCGTCCTCTGCCTCTCCTCCAGGATCCTCTTATGCTCTGTGGCATTCTCGATGTCCTTCAGCCGTAAAGACTTTGTCACGTGCTGCCAGAGACGCCTGGAGGCAGTGAAACCGTTCAAATGAGTGAGAAGAAAGTGCTTGCATAACGTGTTCAAAATTAAAATGTATTTTCTCTGTAGATTTGTCACCAAAGTTACTTAATGTTTTAGAAACGTTGTCACACATAAAATAATTATCTTATTGTAAGAAATACATTACAAGTAATAAGTATATATACAGGGGTGCAAATAACTTTTTTCCTGGTTCTCAAAGGAGCACCTGGAGATGTTGCTTGGTGCTCATCCTTAAAATGAAATAAACCGTAACTTTTGAGCGGTCTTTATTTGCCAGACACACGGCACTGAACACACATGCAGAGGTGAACACAAGACAACATTAACACGACCAGTAATCCTACAAGCTGTCATCACTACCCTCCTGACTGTTCTCCTCACTGTCTTCCTCTCTGTCAGACATGGTAGCTGATGATGTAGGCCTACTTCTTTCTCTCTGGTTGAGTCTGTGATTAGCTGCTTGCATCCACAAGTCAACAGCTGGTTTTGGGTCGAAAGTCTCTGTTGTCATCGTNTCCAAACTTTTAGTAAGGTTACATGTGATAATCCTGTCATTTGGTTTTTTATACAATTTTGACCTACAGTCCCAACCCCTTTTTATCCTGGGTTTACGTCTAACTCCCTCCTTTGTCCAAAGTTTTCCTTTGTTTTCCGCTCGAAAATAAATTATTTTTTACTTTGTTTTTGTTCTTAGGTTCTTGTCCAGCTCCATCGTAGGGTTTGTTTCCCACTGACACTGACACTGCTTGTACTTCCCCTCTGTAAAAAGCTGTTTATTACTTGGTTGTGACTTGTGTTCCTTCTCTGTTCCTGATTTATGTCCATCCCCCATTAGTGCTCTGCTCTTTGTCGGCCCGTCCCTTCCTCTTGTGTGTTCCCTTTGCACCACTTGTGTTAGTCTGTTTGGTCCCTTTGATTGCTTTTCAATCCTTCTCTTTCTGTGTCCCTCTTGTCCTTAACGTTTATTTGGCACGTACTGTTTCTGTCTGGTTTGTTTGACACTGATATTTGATTCTAGCACTGTCTTGGGCGAGGCAGCGGAGTTTTATGTTTCTCAGGTTTTTGGAGATCTTCGCCACCACCTCCCCAAGGCCTCCTCCCTGCGTAGTGACCGGTTTACCAACACGCACCTCCCCAGACTCCTGCCCCAAACCCGACTGTCGGGTCCTTTACGTCTCTGGTCCCTTCCCCAGAGCCCTCCTCCCCCGGACCCCGTTCCGTCTCAAGGATCACCCCCAGTAGCCCGCCTGCCGGGCCCCGTTCCGTCTCAAGTACTTCCCCGCTCCTGGTGTCGCCGATTGAGTGCCCGGCTGACTCCTCGCTTCCGTCGCCGACCTTCTCAGTCCCCCGGCCCAGCTCCCGCTTTCTGGCGCCGTGATGTCTAACCCCGGCCGAGCTCCACTTCCTGGCGCCGAGAGTCCCCCCAGGCCGAGCTCTGCTTCTGCCTGTCGCAGTAGCCACCGGCCCGTCCTGGGCCACAGCCGGCCTTCCTTGGCCTCGGCCTCGTCTTCTCATCAGCCGACCCTGGGGGGTTGCCCTTGTCCCTGTACCTCAACCGTCGTGGGCGGTCGCCCTGGAAGTTGCCTGGTCCTGTAACACCATCCCTGACTCTCCCTGGAGCTCTCCCTGTAACCTCTCCCTGAACTCTCCTTTGACTGCTCCGCCTGAAGTTCTTCTGAACTCTCCCCGAATTCTCTCCTGCATCTCTTCCTGAACTCAACCCTGATCTCTTCCTGACCTCTACCTGAATCTCATCCCTGTCCTCTCCCCTGAATCTCTTCTCTGGATTTCTTCCCTGAACCCTTCCCTGATGACTCTCCTCTGAACCCTTCCTGATCTCCTTCCTGAACTCTTTCCCCTTAACTCATCCTGATCTCTTCCCTGATCCTATTCCCTGATCTCCTACCTGATCTGTTCCCTGATCTGTTCCCTCGAACTCATCCTGACTCAACCTGATCTCTCCTGGTAACCGACGACCACGACCTTATGGTACCGACGACCCGGTCTTGAACCCGGCCCCCTTGGTACCGACGACCCGGTCTTGACCCAGGACATTGGTCCGACGACGCCCGGTCTTGACCGACCTTGGTTACGACACACCCGCCAAGACACTCGGCACTTGGTACCGACACACCCAGCCATGACCTGGCCCTTGGTCCGACGACCCGGACAATGACCTCGGGTTCGTACCGAAGACCCCGAGTCCCGACGATCAGACCTGACGCCCCCCGTTGAGGAAGAGATCCTCGGAAAACCTCCGAGGTACCTGGAGGTTTTCGGTCTGCTCAGGGGCTCCTTGCCGAGGACCTGTACTCGTCCTTTACCCCTTCTTCGTCCCCAACTGAGGTCTGCCTTTTGTGTGGCTCTGCATACCAAGTCCAACCCCCTTAACCCTGTCCCCGATCGTACGGGACCCGTCGTCCGGACCCTTTGTCCAACTGGAGTTTCGACGGTTTTTTCAGGAGGTGGTGAGCCGATCATCGTTGAGGGAAGTTGGTCCGGAACTTCAAATGGATGGACCGTACGACGTCTTTATTGACTGACGGAAGAAGGGATGCCTCCGTATAGATTTCAGTAAGGAGTTCGTAAAGTTTAACGATGAAGTCCGAGCATGTTTACAAGACGACCCAGGTAGTCCAAAGATTTCCTTTGTTTTCCACTCGAAATAAATTGTTTCGACTTGTTTTTGTTCTTAGGTTCTTGTGCCATGCTCCCAATCGTAGATTTGTTTCCACTGAACTGGTTGTACATTCCCCACTGAATTTGCTGTTTTGTTATTGGTTGTGAGTTGTGTCCTCTCCTGTTCTGATTAATGTCCTCCCCATTAAGTGCCTGTTCCTTTGTTCGGTCCGTCCATTCCTTTTGTTTCCCGTTGTCCACTGTGTGTTAAGTCCTGTTAGTCTCGTATTGTCGCCTTTGATTGCCTGTCCCTCCTCTGTTCTGTGTCCCTCTTGTCTTAACGTTTTATTTTTCGCACGCTACTGTTTCTGTCTCGGTTTTTCTTGTGGCACTTGTATTTTGAGTTCTAGAACCTATGACCTTGATATTTTTTTTATACGACTACTTGATTTATGTTACCCCAGTTATTCTATATTTACTTTTTTGTTCTTTATTTACTCAATGTAAGGAAACAATAACGATACCATCCAATTAACCGATACAAGTGCTATAATTAAACTAATAATTTGGCATTTTGGCTAGAAAAACTACACCCACAAATTTCAACATGGGGGTATGTAAGATCAAAGATCAGTAAAGACGAAGTTTCAACGTGGTCTAAACTTCGAAAACTTTAAAATAAAAACAGTTTTTAGAAGGGCCCCCCCGTATGGGGGCCTTGGGATCTCGTACACAAGGGTTAGGACCCCCGATTTCTCGCTCCCGCGGTCCCCGGGAGTCTACTAAACTCCGGTTTACTCGTATAATCTAAAAAAAAAATGTAGTATTAAACAATTGCGTCTTATGTACTAACAGCCAAAAAAAAATCATTTTCGGACAGGCGGCATAGATGTTATTTTATATTTGTTATCAACTAATTAATTAACTTATGTTTAAGTTCAACATCGTTAATATCCGTATGTATCCTAATAATTATAAAGGAGTGCCTTGGAAATATTTGTTTACATAAATTGTGACCAAACCGTTTGAGACCCACTGAGATAACTTAGACTAAAGTGAACTATTCTAAACACTCAAGAGTCCTTTACTTCACTGAGCTGTAGTTATCAGCCTCAATCCAACAACAATCCGCGGTACCGATGCGCGCCCTCTCTCTCTCTCTGTTGCTCGCTCAGAGGCTTTGGCTGTGAGCTGCGGGCACCTGATAAGTCAACATCCCCCACTTTCATCACTTACAGCGCCCATCGTACAGGGCAAATGAAAAGTCTAACCGGGTGAAAAGGGTGTTACCTTGACTTAATTATGAATGGTGTTGTATCAAGGCTGAACATTAGGATGAACCAAACAGTCAAAAATGTTTTTTTCCCTCCCAGAACTACCAGCGCAGCGCCCCCCAGATCTGGCGCCCTAGGCGACCGCCTATGCCAAAAACCGACCCTGCATATAACTTGTTGGCCAGGGGCGGCCCTGTGCAGCATCCCCAGCACCCCTACTTTCCGCGGCTATGTGTCCATGTTTCCTTATTGTGAGTCTTGGTTCAAACAGCAGAGCTTAGGTGTGTTCAGCAGCCCACTCATGATTCTCACCTCTTTGCCTCCTGCATTGGGTCAGGAGAACCTTTCAAATGAGTCTGCACTTTAATCCAATGTAATGAGTTAATTTTTACTTGAACATAGAATATCGATTAGTTTAATAAGGGTTGAATTCTCTGGGTTGTGGTATATGTATAACAATGAAGTAAAAATTATCCAAACACCTTCAACCATCTATTATAGTGAAATAAACACTAATTTAATTAAATTAAGTAAATAATCTTGAGTGTTTGGTTTTGTTTCTACAAAGGGTACCTTTCTCTAACACACAGTCCTCTGACCCATTGTTCACATCAAATATTCATTAATGCAGCTTCAATAATAGAATATGAATGAATTAAAAGCGTTCATTAGAACCTACGACATGCTACTACAATGATACAATCTGTGAAAACAGAAATAAAGTTGATCAAACATGTAATGATCGTGATAATCATGCATGCAAATGATTAATAGTCATCCCCACGTACACAAAAATAATGATGAAATTCCATTCATGATAGATTGAAATGCAGCACACTTTTTCTTTTCCAAATGATTACAGTCACATAGTAGTTATTTCCTAATCAGGAAGGTTTGTCAGAGCTTTGGATAGCTGGCTGATTCCCTGCCTGCATGCCCGGGGCCTGGGCAGGCCTCGGAGCAGTTACAATTAACCACAGATTGAGATTTCTATTTCTAAATTCAAGGCTGGCTCAGACGAGCATGACAACCAGAGAGCCTTGTTGGCCAACTGCAGTCTGTCTGCATCTGAGGCAATTCTCCCGGGAAACATGCAGTAATCATAGC